TCAATGTGGAATGCCCTAACCAGAAATAAAACGTTTATGATTCCAGTAACAGGCATGATGAAATGGTGGCTTTACCCCTGGCCAAGTTACTCTATTATGCAGTCAGTGTGTTTTTCACATGTGCAGTAACTACTAAGACAGTTCAGTAAAAGGCTTAGATATGGTTGAGAGACACCATCAAGTACTATGAAAGGACCTTGGAGGTACAGTGCCTTGCATTTCATCCCCCTTGGTGTTTTTCCTATTTTGTTGCATTTCAACCTGTAATTTAAATGGATTTTTATTTGGATTTCATGTCATGGACATACACAAAATAGTCCAAATTGGTTTTAAAAAATACTAGCAAATAAATAACGGAAAGATGGTGCATGCATATGTATTCCCCCCCTTTGCTATGAAGCCCCTAAATAAGATCTGGTGCAACTAATTACCTTCAGACGTCACATAATTAGTTAAATAAAGTCCACCTGTGTGCAATCTAAGTGTCACATGATCTGTCACATGATCTCAGTATATATACACCTGTTCTGAAAGGCCCCAGAGTCTGCAACACCACTAAGCAAGGGGCACCACCAAGCAAGCGGCACCATGAAGACCAAGGAGCTCTCCAAACAGGTCAGGGACAAAGTTGTGGAGAAGTACAGATCAGGGTTGGGTTATAAAGAAATATCTGAAACTTTGAACATCCCATGGAGCACCATTACATCCATTATTAAAAAATTGAAAGAATATGGCACCAAAACAAACCTGCCAAGAGAGGGCCGCCCACCAAAACTCACAGACCAGGCAAGGAGGGCATTAATCAGAGACGTAACAAAGAGACCTAAGATAACCCTGAAGGAGCTGCAAAGCTCCACAGCAGAGATTGGAGTATCTGTCCATAGGACTACTTTAAGCCGTACACTCCACAGAGCTGGGCTTTACGGAAGAGTGGCCAGAAAAAAGCCATAGCTTAAAAGGAAAAAATAAGCAAACACGTTTGGTGTTCGCCAAAAGGCATGTGTGGGAGACTCCCCAAACATATGGAAGAAGGTACTCTGGTCAGATGAGACTAAAATTGAGCTTTTTGGCCATCAAGGAAAATGCTATGTATGGCGCAAACCCAACACCTCTCATCACCCCGAGAACACCGTCCCCACAGTGAAGCATGGTGGTGGCAGCATCATGCTGTGGGGATGTTTTTCCATCGGCAGGGACTGGGAAACTGGTCAGAATTGAAGGAATGCTGGATGGCGCTAAATACAGGGAAATTATTGAGGGAAACCTGTTTCAGTCTTCCAGAGATTTGAGACTGGGACGGAGGTTCACCTTCCAGCAGGACAATGACCCTAAGCATACTGCTAAAGCAACACTCGAGTGGTTTAAGGGGAAACATTTAAATGTCTTGGAATGGCCTAGTCAAAGCCCAGACCTCAATCCAATTGAGAATTTGTGGTATGACTTAAAGATTGCTGTACACCAGCAGAACCCATCCAACTTGAAGGAGCTGGAGCAGTTTTGCCTTGAAGAATGGGCAAAAATCCCAGTGGCTAGATGTGCCAAGCTTATAGAGACATATCCCAAGAGACTTGCAGCTGTAATTGCTGCAAAAGGTGGCTCTACAAAGTATTGACTTCCAGGTTGTAAGGCAACAAAATAGGAAAAATGCCAAGGGGGGTGAATACTTCCGCAAGCCACTGTAGTATCATTCATAAACCCTGTACATTTCCTCCATTCAGTCGGACTATCTAAGACCAATAAAGTCACACTCCACTGCATGCCGGGCCCTGTCCAACATCAATAAAGCAACACTAAACCAACAGCAGATAAGAACACAGCTAGATAACAACCGGACTGAACCCACTGGAGAAAGAAATGTATTATTTTATTATAATGTCCTGAAGTATGGATCAAAATGGACTCTGAATTTCCTCAAAGTGTAAAAAATAATGTACGCGTGCCTACGAGACCAGTACTGACCGGTCCTGAATGCCACTTCCCTCATGATCTAGCTTGTGTAGAAATCAACCACCTAGGATATCATGATCCGGTGTGTCTCAACTACTACATTATCCATCACTGACCACGTTTACATGCGCACAGTATCCCAGATAGTAACTCATATCCCGCTTAAGGTCTTATTCAGGATAAGCTGTTTACATGCACCTTTGATATCCCGCTCACGAGTATCCCTGTATCCATGAATAAAGTGAATATTCTTCATTTAAGTTCATATGGGTTAAATGGTATAGTAACTGAAATCTAGGCCTTTAACCTCTCACATTTAGCCTAATATAATATCAACTCCTGCATAATTATGCATTTCTTGCAGCGCCTAAAAATATACAACAAATGCTAATTTTGTCTCGGGAACAGGAGTTGAGAAATATGATCTCTGTCTTTCAGCATCTCTTGAGAAAATGCAAATGTGCGTGTAACTTATCTTTGACACTTATGCAAGCAGACAGTATTTCAACCAGATAAAATATGCACCCAAGACGAACTGAAGTCTTATCAGAAACGTGTTTCATCGTTTTCTCAGCTTTTCATTTCCTTAAAACCAGTCAAACTGATGACATTTGGACATTTTGCACCGGAACAATCTTTCCACTGTTCTGGAGTTATTGCATTTTCTCCCAGGGTCCCTAAATGAAACAAACAACTTTACCGGTGTTAACTAGATTATAATTCATTCATTCTATCGATGTAAGACATTCTGGTAAGCACCTACTTTATTTAACCTTCTGGGCAACAAGTTATGACAGAAGAGAAGCAGCATGCATCTAACTATAGTTGACAAATGGCCTACCAAATGCTGGAAATTATAATATAGCCTACCAAATGCTGGAGATTATAAGTAGAAACGTATCTAAATTAGGGGTGAAAGTAGCCTAAGCCAGTAGGCTATACGGTCCAGTAGGCTATACGGTCCAGTAGGCTATACGGTCCAGTAGGCTATACGGTCCAGTAGGCTATACGGTCCAGTAGGCTATACGGTCCAGTAGGCTATACGGTCCAGTAGGCTATACGGTCCAGTAGGCTATACGGTCCAGTAGGCTATACGGTCCAGTAGGCTATACGGTCCAGTAGGCTATACGGTCCAGTAGGCTATACGGTCCAGTAGCCTATACGGTCCAGTAGGCTATACGGTCCAGTAGGCTATACGGTCCAGTAGCCTATACGGTCCAGTAGCCTATACGGTCCAGTAGGCTATACGGTCCAGTAGGCTATACGGTCCAGTAGGCTATACGGTCCAGTAGGCTATACGGTCCAGTAGGCTATACGGTCCAGTAGCCAATACGGTCCAGTAGGCTATACGGTCCAGTAGGCTATACGGTCCAGTAGGCTATACGGTCCAGTAGCCTATACGGTCCAGTAGGCTATACGGTCCAGTAGGCTATACGGTCCAGTAGGCTATACGGTCCAGTAGGCTATACGGTCCAGTAGGCTATACGGTCCAGTAGGCTATACGGTCCAGTAGGCTATACGGTCCAGTAGCCTATACGGTCCAGTAGCCTATACGGTCCAGTAGGCTATACGGTCCAGTAGGCTATACGGTCCAGTAGGCTATACGGTCCAGTAGGCTATACGGTCCAGTAGGCTATACGGTCCAGTAGGCTATACGGTCCAGTAGGCTATACGGTCCAGTAGGCTATACGGTCCAGTAGGCTATACGGTCCAGTAGGCTATACGGTCCAGTAGGCTATACGGTCCAGTAGGCTATACGGTCCAGTAGGCTATACGGTCCAGTAGGCTGCGGTGTATCATCAAAATACATTCTTAAGGAATTATTATGGTAGATCGAACTGCGCAGGTATAGCCTACTTTTTAGTGATTTGTTTGACAATCAGATGAAAAAAAGAAATCACACAACACCCATGATATGCAAAACTGAGCCTGCGCAGACAGCAAAAAACAACAGTAAACGGGATAAGATGTTTACATGCCACAGTATCCCATCTAAGATCAGAATATCTCAGGCATCTTATCCGGGTCTCTCATAACCAGGATACAAGGGTTATTGTAAATGGGATATGTTGTTTATATGCTTCAACTCAAACAGAATACTAGAGTATCCAAATTGAATAATAACGGGATATTGGTGGGCTTGTAAACATGGTCAATGAGTCAGCATATTTCTCTCCCCTTTCTATCTGCCAACGTCTGATCTACTCTTTCTTCCTCATACCACCTCTTCTTTCCTTTCGGTTCTCTTTGTGGTGTAAAATATGTCACATTACTACTTCCACATAACTACTATTGAATGGTCCCGGACACACACATTATGTTCTTCTGTCCTCGTTGGGACCTAAAATTGATTTCCATTCAAAATCCTATTTTCTCTAACTCTTAACCCTAACCACTTACCCTAATCCTAAACTTAAAATAGCCTTTGTTCTCATGGGGACATCAGAAATGTCCCCACAAGGGAACATTATCCTTGTTTTACTATCCTTGTGGGGACTTTTGGGGATTTTAGGTCCCCATAAGGATAGAAGAACCAAGCCCCACACACACACACACGTCATGTGAACAGGGTCTCATTGCCTCCATTGAAGCAGCCCTCTCATGAGGTCATGTGATTAGCACGCGGAGTGCTAGGACACAGCCCTTAGCCGTGGTATATTGGCCATATATCAGAAACCCCCGAGGTGCCTTATTACTATTATAAACTGGTTACCAACGTAATTAGAGCAGTAAAAATAAATGTTTTGTCATACCTGTAGTGTACGGTCTGATTTACCACAGCTTTCAGCCAATCAGCATTCAGGGCTCGAACCACCCAGTTTATAATCACATTTAGAATTATTTAATTGAGTGCAAATTTGAGTCGAGTTCGATTGGATGTGTGCACCTGTGTGTGTGTGTCTATATCTGTATGTGAACATACGTGTTACAGGTGTGTTCATCTACATAGATTATGCCCAAAACGTGTGTGTGTGTGTGTGTGTGACTGACCGGTCACAGGAGCAGGCCACCATCAGACTGAGGAGGTTGTAGATGATGAAGGTGAAGATGACAGCTGTGATGGTTCCTCGAGGGATGGAGTAGCTAGGGTTCTTTAGGTCACCTGGGACACAGCACAACACCAGGTTAGACACACACACACACGTCTCTGGTCCCATGGATAACTCCTGACCAACCCCTTTGAAAACTGAGCAGCTAAATAGATATTCCATCTCTCCACCCATTGATCAAACATCCATTTCTTACCTGACATGTTGGATCCGGCCATGATGCCTGTGCACCCGTTAAACATGACAGCAAACACCGTGGCAAAGGACATCATGGTTCCTGTTGTGTAGTCCACAGCATAGTCAGCTGGGCGGGGGGGGGGGGGGGGGGGGGGGGGGGGGGGATTTATTTAGATATCAATTCAATCAGCTCCATGTCCGAATCCCCAAATTCATATATTTAACACAAAAAAAGGAATTGATTAACGTACATGCCTCTTGGAATTCAAAAAGTACAGAAATGCCTTATCTTGCCATCTCAGGTTCAGGTATAGTTTGTGTTACATATGAAGCCATTGCCTTTTAACCCACTTCCTTCTCACTGGAGGGAAAGCTTTACAGTGGGAAACAAAGTGTGTGTAATTTTTTTGTTAACAGGGTCTTTGAAGGCGCAGTGTGTGTGTGTGTGTGTGTGTGTGTGTGTGTGTGTGTGTGTCTGAGTTATGGCGATTAGCAGAGTAATCATGTGGTTGATTTCCACACTGAAAATAAATCCCTCAGCTCAGTCCAGCAGTGAGGTTGGTATGTTACGGTGGAAATGGGGAGCCAAAGGATATTTACGAGACCCACTAATTACAACTAAATAATCAATTACCTTTTTCACTGCCAGCAACCCTGGTAAGCATTCAGCAAATCAAGAGCCTAAGCCTATAATTGGTGTAAGATAATAAACCAGTAAATTCTGCCACCATAAAGTATGCATAACTGACATGAGACATCACTCACATTGCTTATGCTCACATTAATAATGCTTTGCTATATTCATTCCTTAAAGAGGCACAATGCAGAAATCACTCCGCCATTTTCTGGTTGCTAAAATTCTAAGTTTGCCTAATTCCAGTTTATGTGAGAGAACAAGCAAGCATAGTGTAGAAAATCTTGTACCATCTAAACCGCTGGGAAATATATTTTCCATAACCAAAAATATTGTATTACCAGCCGTTTGAAGCTGGTGTACAAAACCGAAAGTAAAAGATGCAAAAACTAAACTTAAGAACGAGAAGCATAGAAATAGCGCACATAGAACAGATCTACCGCTTCTTAGACTTGCTTTCAATGAGAATGACAGATCTATAACAAACATTTCTATATGAATTTGGAAGGGGCGCCCAAAAAGTTACATATTGCAGCTTAAATCAAGTGCAATTCTATTTAGCACACACATTTATGTTGGTGCGCAACACACACACAGTCCACCCAACCCCCCCGCCAGCCCTCATGCAGACACACACACACTTTCTCACCATCCAGGTTGCCCAGCAATGTGTCCAGTTTAAAGCCGGTGAAGTTGGCCATGGTGGGTGGCTGTGGCCCCGTGCCGTTGTGGACGGGCGGAGCGGCGGGCAGGAGGATGGTGCGCGGGCGCACGGCGAAGAAGCTGATAAAGATGGTGGCCAGCACCAGCATGACCACCAGGAAGATGAGGAAGGAGGCCTTGGCGTAGATCTCTGCCCCCACCAGACACACCAGCAGGCAGAGGAGGAGGATGCCGGTGGCATAGAGCAGTGACCACCAATACCCCGCTGGCAACACCTGGAGGGAACCCGCTGGGCTCATCCCATCTGGAGAGGGAAGGGAGAGATTGGGGTGAGAAGAGGAGGTGAGGTGAGTGAGGGGGTGAGGGGTGAGTAGGTTAAAAGGTGAGGGGTTAATGAGATGAGAGAGTGAAGGAGTGAGGGTGAAAGGTTGATAGTTGAAACAGACCATGAAAGGTCACAAAGGGTTGTAATCCAATTCAGTTTGATTTAAATTGATTCCGTTTAATTCAATAAGCTTTAATGGGCATGAAATGCATGAGTAGATATTTTCAAAGCAGATTATACTGGAAAAGTATTCTGTCTGAATGTAAACAGAGCACAGGTTGGTATTTATTGGAATGACTCATGTACTGGAGGCAGTTCTGCAGGGTAGATTTTAAACCTAACCTTAACCACACTGCCAAGCTTATGCCTAAACCTAACCTTAAATTAACATCAAAAAGCACATTTTTGTTTTCATAAATTTTTACGATATATAGCCAACTTTGACTTTGTCGCTGGCCCATCTAGTGGAAATCGCTCAGCTCTGCCTCCAGGACAAGATTCATCCGAATAAACGTTGACCTGCAAACAGAGCAGGAAGAGGAGAGAGTATGGCTGTATACCTTCTGGAAGCCCGAAGGTTGCTACTATGGCCTCGACCAGACCCAGGATATAGAGGGCACTGCTACACACGTTGGCCAGGAAGAACATGACGCCTAGGCTGCCACCAAACTCTGGCCCCAACGCACGACTTATCATGTCTGGGGAGGAGGGGGTTAAGGCTGGGATACACAGGAGTTAAGAGTGAGTGTCAATGTGTGTGAGAGAGAGAGTGTGTTTGTGTGTGTATGGGGACACTATAGTGTAGTGAAGGCCTTTAAAATATGAATGTCATCAGGCACTGAAAGAATAGGCCCAGGCACACACATCCCCTTCTCACACACTCACAATGTGTCTTACAGATAAAGTGAAAACAATACCGCCATTCACTGGCACACACACAAATACCTATACGTTGACGAATGCAATGCTACAGTAATGAAACTGAAAGAACACTGTAAGGTGGTGTGTGTGGACAGTATATGGGCTTGTGTGGGAATGGCATTCATGTATCGCCTGAAATGATGTCTATACATCTGACTATCATGTGCAGCTGTGTGTCAAGTGTTTGTGTGTGTCTTCGTGTGCGTCATGTGTCTTCGTCATGTGTCTTCGTGTGCGTCATGTGTCTTCGTGTGCGTCATGTGTCTTCGTGTGCGTCATGTGTCTTCGTGTGCGTCATGTGTCTTCGTGTGCGTCATGTGTCTTCGTGTGCGTCATGTGTCTTCGTGTGTGTCGTGTTGGTGAGCAGGATACAGTAAGCCCCTCCTGCGTCCAGAGCTCCATTGGTTGAGATGGCACACACAGACAGCACGGTCATGCTGATGATGAAGTAGGCCACTAGGAACATGGCTATGGCCTGATACAGCCCACACTGGCCCACCACCAACCCTGTAGGGAGAGGAGAGAACACAACGACCACACTATGGTTTAACAACACTTCAAATGCAAATCATCTAAAAGTCCCCAACAGGAACTGGGATTGGTGGTTTAACAAAGTGGTGGAACAACTTTCTTACAGCAAGTTGGAACTTGGAATTTACAGTAATTGTCTACAAGAACATGCAGTGGGGAATTCACATTGGCTTTCACCTTAACTACACAGTTGAGACAGCAGTTTGACCCTCCTCCCCCATGACAAGATAAAGAGTCATGTCATTATTAATCAAAACACCATGCCAAGGCATCCAGTTATGTTTAAGAAATGTTGTTGAATGTCACACACAGTGAAATCAGTTTAGACTGACAATATATTTATTGACAATAGCATATGGCAAAATACCAAACTTCTACAATGCTACCAGTTCCTTGCAACATTCAACAATAGGTCAAGATGCAGAACAAGTTATTTCATGCTTTTAACCAAAACAGAAGTCTTCCAATTCACTGGGCCCCACTCCTATGCATTGTTGAAACAGAAACGCCATATTGTTCCATATAAGACACAATGCACTGCAGTGCTTATGTTATGTGGAATGGTATTCTTGTCTCTCAAACTAGTGGCTGTTCAATGTGTGCGTGTCCACACCACAGCAGCTGAGGGATCACGAGACGGGGGCAAAAGAGGAGAGAGGGTGGAACAAACCAAGGCGAGAGAGAGAGAGAGAGAGAGAGAGAGAGAGAGAGAGAGAGAGAGAGAGGAGAGAGAGAGAACACTCACAGACAGACCACTATACTTACCATGAGAACTCTGTGATTGAATAAAAAACATCTGAACAAAGAAAACATAGATGAGAGACATTGATGAATGGGGATTGTGTTTGTAAACGTATCTTTGATTATTTGTGATTGTATTATGGATACGGTTGTCATTATTGCCATCAGAGATATTGGACCTCGAGCTCTGCGTCATGTGAACGTGATTAATAGCTCGAGACTGGAGTTATGGCGTGAGGAAATAATCAATTTCTTGCAAAAACTACATTTTACTCCATGTCGTTAGTCCACTTGAAACTACTATATTCCTCCAGTAAGAAAATTGTTGTTGTACATATTAATACATATTTAAGTTAATGATTATGACCCCCATAACGATCCATTCCTAATGTGTCCTGGGATGCACTCACTCCAGTAGGCCCTATCCATTAACCTACTTTTTCTCCACACCTCTCAGGAGTTCATACCCTTGTACTGTAACACATCAAGGGACTTTCTAAGTGGCAAAAGGGTCATTCCACCAAGTGTAACTGGCTCAACATTTTTTAAATATTTTTTTATTTCACCTAATTTTAAGATTCTGTCATAAAGAGCACTTTCAACACGTTTTCCCATCTCAAGTGGTTAAAAACAAAAATGCGTGCCTATTAAGTGCCAAATAAAGTTAGAGGGTTGATTATTTTATCTTAAATCATCCATAAATCCCCTTGTGACAGGAAGCTTGTGTGCGTCAGGGAGTGGCATTTGAATGCAAGCTTCACAAAAAATGTGAAATTGTTAAAACATTTCTAGCCTGTCTATCTATGGTTAACAGGGTCGACATGTTCTGCCCGACCCGCTCGGCATTCCATCACAAAACACCAGAAAATGGCCAATGAGAGTAGAACCAGCTAACCTGCTTTAACACCATTTAAAAAGCAATAGGTTCACCATTAAAATAAGAGAGTTTAGTTCACGTAACAGGGTTGACCTTAAAATGAGGGACAGATGTAAATGAATCACTACCGAATAAAACATACAAGATAAATGGGTTTCCATCGCATTTTCAACTCTACTGATGGTTTTCTCAACAACAACAAAAATACATAATATAGCGAGTGTGCCACCTCCGGTATTGGCACGTGTGTTCTAGCGCACGTATAGCCTACATGATGGGATTATTATTGACAAAATATATTATTTTGTCAAACGGCAGCCAAGCATCGATGATAATGTCACCAGAATAAGACCCTCGATATTTGTTGGAAAGGCGCATTAAGCTCATCACCGTGCACTTTCACCACCCTGTGAAGTTCATCATAATTTATTTCATCTGTAGTCTAATAAACTGCATGCCTTTCCGACGAATCGTAGTGGGAGGACCACTCAACACGTCATCGCGTGACTCCAAGTTTACTTCGATATGATGGTTATTATAGCAATATTTGCGCATAAAAAGCGTTTTCCACCGACATTTCTTGCATAATTAATTTTATCGACACAAAAAGATCCCACCTTGTCTAGTGTATTTTGTTTTATCGACATTTGGAAAGTTTACCGAAAAAATGTGTGTTTCCATCAGGCTTGTCATTAAATTTTTTATTCAATAATGTTGAATAAAATGATATCTTAATGTCAAAATATAATTGTATTTACTTTCCTAATTCAAACGCAAATTTCTGCCCGATGTAGAATTCAATGCAATTCAACTTCGGGTTTCCAGGCAACAACTGGCTCGAAGTTACCAACATGGGCCTATAATAAAGCTATGTTGTGGACATTATAATAAATAACGGTTGGCTATACTCACCAATTCTTAGGAAGACCACCACGCTGAACATAGACAGTAAGGTGGGTATCACCACGCCAAAGAATGTGGAGAGCTTTTTGGGCCGGCTGTGGTGCGCCGACTTCCGTCTGGAAACAGCCGGGGACTGTTCGACAGCCTCCCTGGACAGACATGGCTGATGCTCCCCGGACTGCTCATTGACACTTGTGGAGAGGCGATAGTGCAGGAGTGGTGTCCTCTCCGACATGGCGAAGCTGCTGTTGGCTACTACCACTAGCCAGAACTTCAAAACACCCCGTCACCAATTGTGTCGGCTTTATCAACTAAACTAGTTTCTAGCGTTCACTCCCAAACATAGAAGCAAAAATCTGTGCGCATGACTTTACTAAGACATTGTTTTCTCAATCATGTAAAGAGACGCTGAAGAACATTGTCACGCGCCAATCGTTGAAGTCTGAATGCTAATCAATATAGTAATATAGCTTGCCTACCTCGACATTAGAAATACATTTTCTACTCGTGTGGCCTAACTCCACTCGAAATCAGAGAAAACACGATCATGTCGTGGCCTACATAAAAACCTTACATTTTCGTAAAAGTTGTCCGTCGCATTGTAGGCACTTTCCAACAATACGTGAGCCATTTAGGTCACGTAATCATACAGCACATTTTCAAAATAAAAGTCCCCCTAAAGTAACCTAACGTAACCGGTAAAAGAAACACCTTGCGGAGTTCCTACGTTTGGTTTTCAGGGGAAAGGGAACATAGGTTGAAGATACTGTTTCCCTGAAAACCGGATACATCCGGTTGAATCCATCGCCAGAACAACCGGATAAATCAGGTTGTGACTAACACAGCTAAGGGTTACTTAAACATACATTTATTGAAAACACAAACAATATATTATCAAAATCAAATAACAAACATTGATTTACTGTATTTTTTTTATTTTACTATAATGATGATGTTTTTCATTATAGTTCCCTTGTAAAAAACAACAACAATAACAACACAATACCAACAGAAGTAAATGGTTTTTAACTACTGTCAACTCGTAACAGAACAGGATTTAAACGTTTTGAAGTGAACATTTTCACATTGGTCCTGTCCAGGGGTAACTTTGGGAGGGGGCCACAGTGTCCCCCGACCATCTCAGTCCCCAGTATCTATGCTGCAATAGCCTATGTGCTAGGTGGTCATCTGGTTTACTGTAATCTTTGGCATGCTCTCTAGGACCATGCCTCAGGACTACCTGGCCTGACGACTCCTGTCTGTCCCCGTCCCCAGTCCACCCAGTTGTGCTGCTGATCCAGTTCTGCCTGCAGCTGTGGACCCCTGACCTGATTCACCGGGTGTGCTACCTTGTCCCGGACTTGCTGTTTCGACCTCTTCTCAATTCAATTTAAGGGCTTTATTGGCATGGGAAACGTATGTTAACATTGCCAAAGCAAGTGAAGTAGATAGTAAACAAAAGTGAAATAAACAATAACAATTAACAGTAAACATTACACTCAGAAGTTCCAAAAATATTAAGACATTTCAAATGTCATATTATGTATGTATACAGTGTTGTAACAATGTGCAAATAGTTAAAGTAGAAATGGGAAAATAAATAAACATAAATATGGGTTGTATTTACAATGGTGTTTGTTCTTCACTGGTTGCCCTTTTCTTGTGGCAACAGGTCACAAATCTTGCTGCTGTGATGGCACACTGGTATTTCACCCAGTAGATAAGGTAGTTTATCAGAATTTAACGGCTCTTTTCTGGATTTTGATAATTAACGGGTATCGGCCTAATTCTGCTCTGCATGCATTATTTGGTGTTTTTCGTTGTACACTGAGGATATTCTTGCAGAATTCTGCATGCAGAGTCTCATTTTGGTGTTAGTCCCATTTTGTGAATTCTTGGTTGGTGAGCGGACCCCAGACCTCACAGCCATAAAGGGCAATGGGTTCTATAACTGATTCAAGTATTTTTAGCCAGATCCTAATTGGTATGTTGAATTTTATGTTCCTTTTGATGGCATAGAAGGCCCTTCTTGCCTTGTCTCTCAGATCGTTCACAGCTTTGTGGAAGTTACCTGTGGCGCTGATGTTTAGGCCGAGGTATGTATAGTTTTTTGTGTGCTCTAGGGCAACGTTGTCTAGATGGAATTTGTATTTGTGGTCCTGGCAACTGGACCTTTTTTGGAACACCATTATTTTTGTCTTACTGAGATTTACTGTCAGGGCCCAGGTCTGACAGAATCTGTGCAGAAGATCTAGGTGCTGCTGTAGGCCCTCCTTGGTTGGTGACAGAAGCACCAGATCATCAGCAAACAGTAGACATTTGACTTCAGATTCTAGTAGGGTGAGGCCGGGTGCTGCAGACTGTTCTAGTGCCCTCGCCAATTCGTTGATATATATGTTGAAGAGGGTGGGGCTTAAACTGCATCCCTGTCTCACCCAACGGCCCTGTGGAAAGAAATGTGTGTGTTTTTTGCCAATTTTAACCGCACACTTATTGTTTGTGTACATGGATTTTATAATGTTGTATGTTCTTCCCCCAACACCACTTTCCATCAATTTGTATAGCAGACTCATGCCAAATTGAGTCAAAAGCTTTTTTGAAATCAACAAAGCATGAGAAGACTTTGCCTTTGTTTTGGTTTGTTTGTTTGTCAATTAGGGTGTGCAGGGTGAATACGTGGTCTGTTGTACGGTAATTTGTTAAAAAGCCAATTTGACATTTGCTCAGTACATTGTTTTCACTGAGAACATTAACTAGTCTGCTGTTAATGATAATGCAGAGGATTTTCCCAAGGTTGCTGTTGATGCATATCCCACGGTAGTTATTGGGGTCAAATTTGTCTCCACTTTTGTGGATTGGGCTGATCAGTCCTTGGTTCCAAATATTGGGGAAGATGCCAGAGCTAAGGATGATGTTAAAGAGTTTAAGTATAGCCAGTTGGAATTTGTGGTCTGTATATTTGATCATTTCATTGAGGATACCATCAACACCACAGGCCTTTTTGGGTTGGAGGGTTTGTATTTTGTCCTGTAGTTCATTCAATGTAATTGGAGAATCCAGTGGGTTCTGGTAGTCTTTAATAGTTGATTCTAAGATTTGCATTTGATCATGTATATTTTTTTGCTGTTTGTTCTTTGTTATAGGGCCAAAAAGATTGGAGAAGTGGTTTACCCATACATCTCCGTTTTGGATAGATAGCTCTTCGTGTTGTTGTTTGTTTAGTGTTTTCCAATTTTCCCAGAAGTGGTTAGAGTCTATGGATTCTGAAATTACATTGAGCTGATTTCTGACATGCTGTACCTTCTATTTCCGTAGTGTATTCCTGTATTGTTTTAGTGATTCACCATGGTGAAGGCGTAGGCTCTTTTCTGGGTCTCTTTGTTTTTGGTTGGATAGGTTTCTCAATTTCTTTCTTAGGTTTTTGCATTCTTCATCAAACCATTTATCACTGTTGTTACTTTTCTTCGGTTTTCTGTTAGAGATTTTTTGATTTGATAGGGAAGCTGGGAGGTCAAATATACTGTTTAGGTTTTCTACTGCCAAGTTTACACCTTCACTATTACAGTGGAACGTTTTGTCCAGGAAGTTGTCTAAAAGGGATTGAATTTGTTGTTGCCTAATTGTTTTTTGGTAGGTTTCGACACTACTTTCCTTCCATCTATAGCTTTCTTAATATTATTCAGTTCCTTTGGCTTTGATGCCTCATGATTGAGTATTGCTCTGTTCAAGTAGACTGTGATTTTGCTGTGGTCTGATAGGGGTGTCAGTGGGCTGACTGTGAACGCTCTGAGAGACTCTGGGTTGAGGTCAGTGATAAAGTAGTCTATAGTACTACTGCCAAGAGATGAGCTATAGGTGTACCTACGATAGGAGTCCCCTCGAAGCCTACCTTTGACTATGTACATACCCAGCGTGTGACAGAGCTGCAGGAGTTGTGAACCGTTTTTGTTGGTTATGTAGTCGTAGTTGTGCCTAGGGGGGCATATGGGGGAGGGAATGCTGTCACCTCCAGGTAGGTGTTTGTCCCCCTGTGTGCTGAGGGTGTCAGGTTCTTGTCCAGTTCTGGCATTTAGGTCGCCACAGACTAGTACATGTCCCTGGGACTGGAAATGATTGATTTCCCCCTTCAGGATGGAGAATATGTCTTCATTAAAGTATGGGGATTCTAGTGGGGGGATATAGGTAGCACACAGGAGGACATTTTTCTCTGTTGGGATAATTTCCTTTAGAATTTCTAGCCAAATGTAAAATGTTCCTGAGAGTGTCTCACTGGTCTGGGGGGGGGGGGGGGTGTCTGTTGATCTGTTGCTCCTGTGTGAGGCTTTGGGTCTGCGGTTGAGGGCGATATCCTTTAGGGTCCGGGCGAAAGTGGGCACTGCTGTCCTGTATAGGTGGACCTGGTTGTAAAGGCTGTTCAAGTCCAGGGTGCAGTGGTGGGCCAGGTAGACATTAGGTTTTGAGGCACAGTCACGGGAAATACTTGTGTTTACCTGCTGTATGGTAGTAGGGTTGAAATATTTTCGTGGTAGCAGGGTTGAGATAGCCACTTGTGCGTTGGGGAAAGTAGAATAAGCTTTTTCTATCACTCCCTTGAGTACTGTGGCCACCCTTTCCTGCTGTGTTCTCAGGTCGTTTGTGCCTGTGTGTATTATTATGTGGCTGGGTGATCCTAGTTGGTCCTCAGACAGAAGTTCTAGGGCGCGCTGGGTGTTTGGGCACCAGAGTTTATTTTCTTGTATGTATTTCCCGTTTGAGTCCATAAGGAGTACAATCTGTGGCTTGTGTATGTCCTCAGTGGGTGTGGGGGGGTCGTCAGGAGGGCTATCAGGGTGGCTGACAGAGGGGGTGCTGAGAGGGGTTGGGATCCCCTGGGCTTGGGGTTCTTCATTTGTTTGTCCGGCTATGTTGTCGAGGTTATGGTCAGGGTCTAGGGTGTACTGTTCTGCTGCAGTGTCGAGACTTTGGTCAGAATCTGAGGTGGGCTGTTCTGCTGGCTTCTCTGCGGGGGTGGCCAGCTCTCTAATGGGTTGTTCTCTGTCACCCGTCATCGTTCTCACCTTCTCCTCCAGCACTCTGATCCTTTCTCCTGCTGATGTTGTCTCACCATAGTCGAGAGTGCTTCTCTCTCTCTCTCTCTCTCTCTCTCTCTCTCTCTCTCTCTCTCTCTCTCTCTCTCTCTCTCTCTCTCTCTCTCTCTCTCTCTCTCTCTCTCTCTCTCTCTCTCTCTCTCTCTCT